CCCCTCCACCTTCCCCAGGCTATGTGGTGGCAGAGATTCATGGCCCTTGTAAACAACAAAATGTGACCGAGAAAGTCGTCGGTACTGTATGAGTCTACACTACATATGAACAGACTAACAAAAGACACATTCTGAGACGGACATCTGCCGCTGGTGCTTGGGTCAGTAGTTTAGTCAGTTACATTGACCACTACGAAACATACTTAGTGACCACTAGGAAACACACACACTGACCACGACAAAACACACTTAGCGACCACCACAAAACATACTTAGCGACCACCACAAACCATACTTAGTGACCACCACAAACCATACTTAGTGACCACCACAAAACATACTTAGTGACCACCACAAAACATACTTAGTGACCACCACAAAACATACTTAGTGACCACCACAAAACATACTTACAGCTTAACCCTTCCAGCCCCACCCACTTTTGTGCACCCCCTAACTCCAGTCCCAGCCAATACAGCAGTAGTTCAGAAAAAGAGGCATGCATTCTAAAAAGTGATGTAGTATCTTTGTAAAGAGATTTAGATAATAATATTTACAAATGTTTAAAGGTAAATGAACAAATGTTATGAAAATTTAAGTTTCATTAGGTTCGCTAATTTCAATAAATGCTCAAATTCGGTACCCCCGGAAATTGAGAATAAACGCTCTTGGGACTGTGGGAGGTACAAGAACTGCTAAAAATAGACACGCTCGGGGCTGGAAGGGTTAAGTACCAATTACACATTTCCTGGATATTTCAACCAGTTCCAATGAACAGGGACCTACTCTACGGCTTAAACTACAGCCCCATATGTTGATGGCATTAATGTCAAACTATAAACAACAGTACAACAATGTATGTCAAAGTCATTCATGTCAAACTATAAACAACAGTACAACAGTGTATGTTAATGTCATTCATGTCAAACTACAGCCCCATATGTCAACGTCATTAATGTCAAACTATAGAACCGTACGTTAAGGTCATTAATGTCAAACTTCATCCCTGTATGTTAATGTCATTAATGTCAAACTACAAATTACGGCCCTGTGTGTTAATGTCATTAATGTCAAACTACAAATTACGGCCCTGTGTGTTAATGTCATTAATGTCAAACTACAAATTACGGCCCTGTATGTTAATGTCATTAATGTCAAACTACAAATTACGGCCCTGTGTGTTA